AACGGTAGATGTTTGATCTTGAAGCTGTCAAAACAAGCGATTTACGAGTATGATATGGAAGATGAGGAAGTGAAAATTTTGGTAGATGGGAATGTGAATTTCAACTCTAAGGTGGCGTTTCCGCTTGTGAATACGCTTGCTTCTCGGGAAAATTCTGGACCGTTGTGGTAGCAACCGGCTCCGCTAGTAGATATTCGACTCGGGTATGTTCCATATTCATGTGGTATTGGTTAACCTGTGTATTGAGGAGTTTGAAACTCGATGAGTGAATAATCTAGTAATGGATGTGAATATTGTTACTGGGTTAGCCATTTCATGGCCAGAGTCATGGGTTCAAGGGTTTTGTGGGCTACAATTATAATAGGACCGGTTCGGTATGGTCCGACCGGCGCTGGTTCTTGTGTTGTTCTTCAGTTTGCTAAACTCAAAACAAGGGTAAATTGCAGTTTGCTAGTTCATAAATTGTTTGCAGATTTAATCCATGGATTTTTTTTTTTAATAACTGTCGATGCCAAAGCCAACTTGCACCCACCTCGATTAATTCCATGGGATCTTAAGTTAACATGGTCGTGAGGGAATTTGATCTGAAGCGGTATTAACTCCAATTCAAGTCTTTTAAGACTAATACTTAGGGGTTGTCTACTAAACACTTATTTTGGTAAGCGATTATTGGTTTAATTATCTTACTTGGTGAATATAAGGATCGAAAATCTTACCGGGTAAGAGGGATGACAAGGATCAAGAGTCTTACCGGGTAAGTGAACGTTATGACTCTTACCCGATAAGCGTTTACCGGTAATTCATTTTGACGGCTGGGAATCTTACCCCTTAAGGTAAGTGAGAATGGTACTTTTACCGGTAAGCGCTTACTCAACATTTAAATGGTAAACAATTCCTAAACTTTTCAAAATCAGCTTTGTTTGCTTTATATTTATGCTTAAGCTAGATAGGTGTAACTTAATCAAAATCATATTATTTGATACTAGAAGGATACTCGCACAATGCAGCGAGATACATCTCAATTTTATTATTTCGTTTTTTTTTTTTGTCTCAATCGATGTTATGATAAAGTTGTATGTGGTTTTGAGAAAATAATAATGTTTTTATTTTTAAATAAAATATAAATATGAAGATATCATAAAAAATTGAAAAAAAATATTGATATTAGTACCAAAATAATTATTTAATTTATCGTTTTTTGTGTATTTTAATGCATTTTTTCTTATTTTTGGTTTAATAGTATCTTTATTAATTATTTTGTTAGAATTCAATTATTATTCTAATTATATTTTAGATTTTTTATATTTAAAATAGAATGTTTATCTTATATTTAATTATGTTTATCTGCAGTTAGTTATACAAATTCAAACATAAAACTTTAATAAATTGTACTTACGCACAAACCAACTTGTAATATTAAATTTTAAGTAATATTCATCAATAAACAGTAATTCATACATAAAAATGAATTTTAAGAGTTTCTTGTCAAATATTTTATAATACAGTATTAATAAGTTCCACGATTGCAAACATACCAAAAAAAACAAATTTAAAGATGGATTTAAGACGCATTCTAAATAAAAATAAATAATCTATACTTATATATTGACTACGATAAAGATAGATTTTCAATAGATAAGACTCTTGTATAGATTAAGCATTACTTCGTATTTATAAAAAGGTACAAACTTTGGTATACTGATCTTTGATACGGGTCGTAATCGTCAATATACATTGTTCCTGAGTTGGTTTTCAGTATTTTTCTTTTATCACTTTCTTTTTTTTGCAATCGTTTGTTTCTCGTGGAAGAATAGAAGGTTGAGGCGCTTTTTTAACTTTAAAAGTCATTTTTACAACCATGATTAGTTTATCAATCATTTCTAAAGTCAAAAGGAGCATTTTGTTCGACTTCAGTAAATGCATGGATTTATTTATTTGAGAAAACATCAAAGAACTTAATCGTTCAATATATGAAAGTGTGTTGGGTCGTTTTAGATTTTTAAAAGCTATTCTTTTTACCACCATAGCCAGTTAGGGGTGCTCATGGGTTGGGTTGATCGAGTTGACGACATTTGAACAACCCAACCCAATACTTGCGGTTTGGATAAATCTTAACCCAACCCAACCCGTACGGGTTAGTTGGGTTGGTCGGGTTGATATTTTGGTATATTAAAATATTATTCTAACCTTGAATATGTTATTTCTTTACTCATAATTTCTTTTTCATCATTAATCATTTGATACAACTTATTCATATTTCTTACGTATATCACATTGAGTTAATTTTCTCAATTTACATATATATGTTCACAGTTACTAAATGAGTTATATAGAGATATGAATAGATTGAAAATATGTGTATATGAAAAGCATACATGATAGTGTAATTGTCTAATGTATATATTAAWAAAAATTCAACAATCATATTAAATCCAAGAAATAAAAGGATATCGGGTTCATCGGGTTGGGTTGAGTTCAAATAATAGTAACCCAATACCTACGGTTTGACAATTTTACAACTCGATTTGACATCGGGTTGCTTCGGGTTGGGTTATTTCGCGTTGGGTTGATCGGGTTGGTCGGGGTTTTGAGCACCCCTATAGCCAGTTACCGGTCATTTTCAAGGTCAAAAAGACAATTCTGTTCGATTCCAGTAGATGCAAATATTTATTTGTTCAAAAAAATATCGATTGATTTAATCGTTCAAGATATAAAAACAAGTATAGATTATTTGTTTTTATTTAGAATGCGTCTTAAATCCATCTTTCATTTTTGGATAAAATGCGCGACATAGCAACCTACTTTTAGAAAAAAAAAATTATTATAGCATTGTACTTTCAGTTTTTCTTATTATAGCAATGTACTTTCAAAGTATCTTTTATTAAGGCATCGTACTTTCAAAAATTTACCCGTTATAGCATTGGGTAATCTTTTAAATTAAATTTACCCATTATACCAAGTTTCTTTGCCACCTCATCGTCCACGTAGGCTGTCCACATGTACGATAGTGCTTACATGACATTTCTTATTATAGCATTGTACTTTCAAAATTACTTTGTTATAACATCACCAATTTATATTACAACATTGTACTTTTAATTTTAATATTTTCATCATTTAAATATTGTAAATTTAATCAAATATGTTTACTAAAAATTATAATATTTGAAATTAAATATGTTTACAAAAGATCACTATTTCACGAATACAAATATTCATAAAAATAATGATATCATAATTTAAACATGTGTACAATTTAGACATCATTTTTTTATGAATATTTTTATTTGTTAATAGTGATCTTTTGTAAACATGTTTAATTTCTGACATTATAACTTTTAGTAAACATATTTGATTAAATTTACAAAGTTTAAATGATAAATATATTAAAATTAAAAGTACAATAATGTAATAGTAATAAGTGATGTTATAATAAGGTAACTTTGAAAGAAATGCTATGATAAGAAATGTCATGTCAGCATTATCGTACATGTGGACAACCTACGTGAATGATGAGGTGGCAAAGAAACCTGGTATAACATGTAAATTTATTTAAAAAGTTACCTAATGCTATAACAGGAAATTTTTTGAAAGTACGATATCCTAATAAAAAATATTTTGAAAATATTTTGCTATAATAAGAAAATTTATAGAAGTAGATTGTTAGTTCATGCATTTTCCTCTTAATTTCTTTTGGTATGTTTGCAATCGTGGAACTTATCAATATTGTATTATAAAACATTTAACAAAAACTCTTAAAAACCATTTTTATCATGAATTACTGTTTATTGATGCATATTACTTAAAATTTAATATTACAAGAAGGTTTGTGCGTAAGTACAATTTATTAAAGCTTTATGTTTGAATTCGTATAACTAACGGCACATAAACATAATCAAATAGAAGATAAACATTCTATTTTAAATATAAAAAATCTAAAATATAATTAGGATAATAATTGAATTCTAACAAAATAATTAATTACTATTTTTNAGGTTAACCAATACCACATGAATATGGAACATACCCGAGTCGAATATCTACTAGCGGAGCCGGTTGCTACCACAACGGTCCAGAATTTTCCCGAGAAGCAAGCGTATTCACAAGCGGAAACGCCACCTTAGAGTTGAAATTCACATTCCCATCTACCAAAATTTTCATTTCCTCATCTTCCATATCATACTCGTAAATTACTATTTTTGAAAAAAAATATATTATTAAAACAAAAATATAAAAAAAAAATCATTAAAAAAATACACAAAAAACGATAAATTAAATAATTAGTTTGGTATTAATATCAATATTTTTTTTTTCAATTTTTTATGATATCTTCATATTTATATTTTATTCAAAAATAAAAAAAATTATCGTTTTCTTAAAACCACATAAAACTCTATTATAACATCGATTGAGACAAAAAAATAAAATAAAACGAAACAATAAAATTGAGATATATCTCGCTGCATTGTGTGAATACCCTTCTAGTATCAAATAATACGATTTTGATTAAGTTACACCTATCACGCTTAAGCATAAATATAAAGCAAACAAAGCTGATTTTAAAAAGTTTAGGAATTGTTTACCAAATGCTTATTGAGTAAGGGCTTACCAGTAAAAGTACCATTCTCACTTACCTTAAAGGGGTAAGATTCCCAGCTGTCAAAATGAATTACTGGCAAGTGCTTACCAGGTAAGAGTCATCACGTTCACTTACCCAGTAAGACTCTTGATCCTTGTTTTCCCTCTTACCAGGTAAGATTTTCGGTACTTATGTTCACCAAGTAAGATAATTGAACCAGTAATCGCTTACCAAAGTAAGTGTTTAGTAGACGACCCCTAAGTATTAGTCTTGAAAGACTTGAATTGGAGTTAATAGCGCTTCAGATCAAATTCCCTCACGACCATGTTAATTTAAGATCCCATGGAATTAATCGAGGTGAGTGCAAGTTGACTTTGGCACCCACAGTTATAAAAAAAAAAAAAAACAATCCATGGATTAAATCTGCAAACAATTTATGAATTTAGCAAACTGAAGAACACCACATGAACCAGAGCCGGTCGGACCACACCGAACCGGTCCTATTATATTGTAGCCCACAAAGCCTTGAACCCATGACTTTGGCCATGAAATGGCTAACCCAGTAACAATATTCACATCCATTACTAGATTATTCACTTACCGAGTTTCAAACTCCTCAATACACAGGTTAACCAATACCACATGAATATGGAACATACCTGAGTCGAATATCTACTAGCGGAGCCGGTTGCTACCACAACGGTCCAGAATTTTCCCAAGAAGCAAGCGTATTCACAAGTGGAAACGCCACCTTATAGTTGAAATTCACATTCCCATCTACCAAAATTTTCATTTCCTCATCTTCCATATCATACTCGTAAATCGCTTGTTTTGACAGCTTCAAGATCAAACATCTACCGTTCTTTGTCATGAACACAGGAACCAACCCCGTTATATCATAATCCATGTTGATTGTGTATCGTTTTACCCATTCTTCATCACAATCGTTCCTTTTCAAAGTCCATAACTGAATCCTGTAAACCGTCATTTGAGCAACAAAATTCAACATACCTCCGTTTTCTATTAGCCTATCATTCATGCCGCTGCTATTAACCGGCAAATCCTTTGTGACAAACTTTTCATCAAATATGTCCATCGACACAAGATAATTGGCGTTATGAGTTCCCGGAAGCCAATACAAGACCCCAGAGGCGGCCACCGCTTTGTGATTGAAGTCCCTAAAGAGCCCAAAAGAAGGAACGCTGCCTCCTCTCCATGACATTGTTCTTAAGCTCAGTATCTCACTATCCGTATGACCTGATTCATCTCTGAATACATGCACGGCTTTATATTCATGTGCACGATCGCTGAACACAAACCCATATGATTCTTCTCGGTGTGGAGCTATTGTTCCTGATTTAAGTGGAAGAAGCTTTCGGGTTGTTGGGTTCAAGATCAGTAAGCTTCCTGTTCTGTTTCTAGCCAAAACTAAACCGTCACAAGTTGCTAGAATTTCACCAAAACCACATATGTTTGGATCGCTAATCTTGCCATTACCATCTTTGAACTCCATCAAATAGATTTGAAGCTTCCGTTTTCTGGAAGATGGTTGCTCAAAGAGTGTGAACTGGGGGTTTTTGGTGTCAATAGAGAACGTATTTGGGTGCGGTTGAGAGACATGTTTCAGAAAGGTGAGAACTGTTTCGCACCGACTCATGTGAGCTTCAACAAAATTAGGACTGTTGATTAACCTGCGCCAGGTCTTGCATACAAAGCTTAGCCTTAAGAGGTCTTTTGCAGGAAGCAAAAGAAGAATCTTGAAGATCAAGTCATACGGAAGAAGCGAGACCTCAATCCCACATCTCTTCGCTGGCAAACCACTCATCTGCTCTTCCTTTACCTTAAACTGCTTTCAACAATCAAATCAAAGGACAGCACTCTATTGCTCTTATCTCTTCTTAGTCCTCACTAAACATCTGAAAAATGAAATGAGTAAGATTCAATTGTTGTAATCCTCAATGAAAAAGAGAGAGGTAAAGATGATCTTTCAAGTCATTCAGACAGCTTATTAAGCATAACAAACAAGCAGCATATTAGCTTAGTCCATATATACAACTTCATCCATACAGAGTTTGATGGAAAAACAACCAAACGACCGCTTGGTGTGAAATTACATTCAATATAACTACAGTTACTAGTAGAAGAATGCCCGAATCCAATGCACCTTGAGAAAAGATACGGAATACATTTTTGGCACCTTCGGCATGACTATTCTACAAGTACCATGCAGAACACCCCTTTTACATGGACCAGACAAATTTTAGCCCTTACAGCCAACTTTGTGGCCCCTAAGAAGTTGATAGCATATGGGAGATTCAAGACCTTAGACCTCCCAAACCAAGATCCCGAAACTTGTCCAATAGATCAACCCCTTTAATTTAAGAGAAGTTGGTTAGGCAAGCAATACATTATAGTTAAAGAAGCATTTGGTATAATATTTTGACATTTATGAGACCATAAACACACACACACACGGGGTTGTTTGGCGGTTGTTGAATGATTTGGTGGAGAATGATTAAGTGATCAGAATGATTAAGAAGCATTCATGATATAATGCAAAATAAAATATAATTGTTTGGTAATTGTTTACAATGAAATCAGGACACTTAACGAGGCTCAAGTTACAAAATCATTTAGAGGCTTTTAGAACCGTTAAGAGACAGACTTTTTTTTTTTT